AACCAACCAAACTTGCTGGGTTTGCTGTATCTTTTAAAATGTCGTTTGATAACAGAAAAGGCATGTGAGTAATATGAAACGGAATTTGGAAATTTTACAGCAAGTTTGGTTGGTTAGGTAAGGTTCGTTTAGAACATTTTAATTTCAATATAATATTTTTAAATTGTTTGTTGATACTGAACAATATTTACCTATCGTAGTTGTCAGCTGACATCTCGTTCATTATCGGATCAAAAATAGAATATCGATGTATCGGAAAGAAATCATCGATAATAATGAATGTTCCCGTTAACAGGAAAGTACCATTTTACGCAATGCGGCCAAGGCCAAAATTAGTACAGCAGCTACTATGGTTGTACCAACTATTATATTAGTTTTCTGAATCTAACCATTTGAATCCACAGTTAAATGTATGTAAATATTAAAACATATACATATTTTAAATAGCGTATCCTGGAAGATGTTATTACGGAATATGTGCGTTTTCATTTTACGGATAAGGCGGATACACTTAACAATCACACGTCCTTTACACAAGAAACAGTGTGTCAAGAGTGCTTCCTGGCTCAAAAATTCAATACATTTCCTTTCTCAGTCAGAGGTGCATAACTGCATTCCTTTGAACACAGTCAGCATCCTGCATGGTTTGTCCACCCCTAGCGGAAGCCACCCTCACGGTCACGTGTAATCTCTCTCTCTTCCATCCCCCTCTCGCGCCAACCCCCAACCGTTGGCAAAACTCCGCAGTATGAGGAATTCGCGGATGGGGACCCTTTCTACCTGATACCCGTTGGCAAAACTCCTACACTCTTTCTTAAGATATCAACTCCGGACCACGTCAGATCATTGTAAAGTAGTAAGTACTACATTTTGACTGGGTATAAATTTTTGGCCGCCATCTTGGATCCGCCATATTGGATACAAAGTTTTTTTTCAAATGTAAAGGTAGGGTTGTGACCCATTAATCCAAACCATAATTTTACGCTGATTACAATGTCGCAAATAGTTTTTAAAAATCTTGATCCGTTCTAAAGTTATAAGGACTTCTTATAACTTTATTTTTAGCGCATTTTAGCATTGTGCATTTACAAACTAAGACTATAATCTCAAAATAGTGCTAGATAAAGATAAGTATACACCACCATTCATTGTCGACCTATTTTCACTTGGTTATGACGGATGTATTTTTTTCGGCCGCCATCTTGGATCCGCCATTTTGAAATGTGACAAATTAATTTAAATATGAAGGTGGTGTTGTGACCCATCATTTTCAACTACTTTTTTATGTTGAACTCAATGCCGCAATCCGTTTTTGGTTATCAAGCTTTCTTGATGAAATATTAAAATGATCTAATTTAACATTTCAATAATTCAACAACTAAACTTGCAAATGAAAAACTTATTGCGGCATTGAGTTCAGCATAAAAAAGTAGTCCAAAATGATGGGTCACAACACCACCTTCATATTAAAATTAATTTGTCACATTTCAAAATGGCGGATCCAAGATGGTGGCCGAAAAAAATACATCCGTCATAACCAAGTGAAAATAGGTCGACAATGAATGGTGGTGTATACTTATCTTTATCTAGCACTATTTTGAGATTAAGGTCTTAGTTTGTAAATGCACAATGTTAAAATGGGCTAAAAATAAAGTTATTAAAAGTCCTTATAACTTTAGAACAGATCAAGATTTTTAGAAACTATTTGCGGCATTGTAATCAGCGTAAAATTCCTGTTTGGAATAATGGGTCACAACCCTACCTTTACATTTGAAAAAAAACTTTGTATCCAATATGGCGGATCCAAGATGGCGGCTAAAAATTTATACCCAGAAAAAAATGAAGTACTTACTACTCTACAATGATCTGACGTGGTCCGGAGTTGATATCTTAAGAAATGTAGAAAAAAGTTGGGGGGGGACTCATTTAAAAATCACCCTGTACATATAACCAAACAGTAAAGCCCAAATCATGAAATTAACCCTAAAATAATTAAAAACTAAATTTAATCAACAATAGCAATCAGTGTCACCGGACATGAACTAGACACGATAAACGAGCATCAAAATTTACAATGGGATGAGTCTGCTAACTTGTTATTAGTTAGTCTATGTTATTGCCTGGTGACAGACTGTTTCGACAATTTCCTATATTTGATCATAACTCAGATTACTAAGGGCGCAGTTGACGTGTTATTTCGTAACAGTAAATATCACTCGTTGTTGACAAAACTAAGCAGTAGGTTTTCACTAATTAGCTTGTCAGTTAAAATATCGAAAATATTTACTAAACTTTTATCCTTTTATCGTCGGCTTTTTGGTGTATAAAACATTACATGTCAAAAACTTTTGCATAATTCTCTCCACCACTTCTAGGGTGACTTTTCTGGATATTACCATGGTGTAACCCTCTCATTACTTCTTACTGGTATCTCTCTCATTGACATGTAAAACGTAATAAGATTAAACTGAATTAACTTGTCATAAATAAATAAGGTATTTATTCGTACAACTGCTTTTTTCCATTCGGAATCCTACGGTGACTCATTCATTTACTACACGTACCATTGTACCTGACAACGCGGGCCTTCTTGCACTGATTATAGTACGCAAAGTAACTGATTCCTGCATAGTTACTTTCCCGCACTCATTTCAATTTGTCGCACTCATTTTACTTTCCCGCACTCCAGTATTTTAACCAAATAACACAAAATAGTGGGCCTCTATTAGTCACGAAATACGGGTATGCATCAAAACAAGTTGGCAACACTGTAAAACATCCTGTAATCATCAACCCTTTAAACTGATGTTCTTAGGCGTATTCTGGAACTCCCAAGGATGAAAAGCTGCTGTTTCACTAGCAGCTACTGGTGTCTCCATCAACAGCGTAGTTCAATGTATACGTTGAGAACACAGAGGTAAAGCGTAAACAGCAAAACTCAACCATAATCACCACTTGTTTGAGACAATAGCGGGAATGCGAAGAACGTTGTAAGAGCTGAACCAGAATGTGTTCCTGGAAAACAAAACAGATGTCAACATGGCGGATACTAGTCCAGGATGTCATATCCAGAACAGGAAAATGATCAGTGATCTTTGTTGAATTGTGAAACATTTGAAGCATGAATTAAACGCGATGATGTGAAATTACAGCATTAGATGAACATAAGTAAGAGAGATACAGTTAGTAAAACACTCGTACAAAGGTGAGAGGAACATTTTAAAGAGGTGTGGATGTTAAAGTGGCATAACAGAAACAAAGGGACGGTTTGTTGCACCAAAGAGAAAAGAGGCATAAGAAAATATGTATACAACATTATTGTCATGATAGTGTTAGCACAGGTCGTAATTTAGGATTTTCTAAAATATTGGATAAAGATACTATGATATTGTGAAGGGTTTTGTGGATGTGTTGGAGATTATGTAAACAATATGCGATTTTAACGATCGAAACACGTTTACGTAGAATCCTTGCCTTTTAAATATTTAAATTATAAAAGGGAAGGCTGATTTAGTTTTGAAATTGGTTCAGGCATTTACTACAGAAGAGAAATTTGTGTTTGGAGACTATCAAGTTGTGTATTTTTGAAAATATGCATGGTTATAAATAAATGATTAACCAAAAACTTTTATACTTGTAACATCGAAATATGCACTCTGCACTGGTCGTGTACTAACATTTCAGTAATTATAGTAAAATTGTGTATCGTTCGTGGATTCATGGGATAATTTTGCAAAATTTGCATTTGTAAAACTAAACCATATAGCAAATCAGGGGTTATTTTACTATCTAACCATACCATTGTAAAACTCATTCAATTTAGGAACCTTCCTCTTATTTCCTAACAAACTACTGTAGTGAAACCAGCTGGACAGACAGTAGATATAAATTATACCAATAACTATCGCAATCCAAGGTGCTTCCTATTGTCGAGGAAGCATTGTTGATTGGTTGATTGACAGTAAAGCACAATGAAAGGAAACTGATGCAACCCACAAGGTTGTGCCTTGGGCCCCTCGCTGTTTTGCGGCTACACATTCCTACACATGTGATTAGCCTGTTATATCTAGGTCAGGGAGTGAGGCGTGTACCATTGCCCAAATGCAAAAATAAAATCCTTTCAGTCGTGATCGTGTAATTCGGGGCTTTGCGAAGGGCGTCCAAAGGCGATTTCCAAATTGGTCCGCCTGCAAGGGTAATTGGTTCTCTCCTACAAGAGTAATTTAAGCGTTTATACCTTTTGGGCGTGATTTGGAACTTTTCATGGCTAGTGAGATAGCCTCACAATGTCTTTGAAGTGCTTTATTCTTTAACTTTTGGATACTGAAGTAGAAATGCTATCTAAATGTTGCTAGCTGTAAACAATTTGTGTTTATAACAGCATAGTTGAATGAGCCAAAACGTCTAAGATTATATTTTTCCCTTTATGTTATTGAGATAGTTAGTTGTTGATACAGCATAACCCACAAATGCTGCAGTCCACAATGATTATCTTTCTTAGGGGGTTAGGTTAAAAAGGTGGCGTATTTAACAGAAATGACTAATTTTCATCGATTTCATTGCACATTCTATATGGTCACACCTTTCAAATAGGAATTTGATATCTAGTTATATATATATACACTACGAGTATTGTCTATATGATAATTCTAAGATTAATAATTATTACTACACCATTGAATGGAGTAGGCATAGGCAGTTAAAAAGTACTTTGAAAAGAAAGCTGTAGTTTTTACATTAAACCTTTGCAAAAGTACTCAAAGTCAACGAATTAGCTTATAGTACTTTAAATCAGACGCATAAGAAAAAAAATTAATATCTTTAATTTGACTATTTTTTTACATAGGCTAGTTACAAAACTCATTTAAGGTTAAAAAAGTTTGATTCCTTTATAATTGGAATTTTATTATTCAGACAACAAATAATACTTTGATAGCCTAGTGCAATTTACTAACTTTGAATATGAATATTTGATGCTAATTTGTATTTTTCTGTTTCAGGCAAAAACTAACGGACAGCAATGGCAAGGCACTCAAATCCTCCAAACTTAATCCAGACATGTACGACCCATTCTCCAATAGAGACATGACCCATGCTACTCCGTAAGTATATGCTAGTTATAAATTAAATTGTAATCCGACAACATGACCAAATTATTAAAAAGTCTGGAAATTAATGTAGGAATTCATAAAAAGAGGGGAATTAACTTTTCGAGCAAGGATACATTTAACAGAGACTGGTTTTCCTGAGATTTCAATAACATTTGTTTCTATTTTGGTAATTTAAATATGCACCTATGTAATACACCATTTAAATGGACGGTTTGTGGTTTGATCATATATTGATAAATCATACATTAACGGTTATTGTGGTTTGATGGTGAGGGTAGAACCGTACTACCTTAGTACCTAATTGTCTTCTAAACACTATTGGATACTATTTTGGAATTTTGGTAACATCAGTGTTTTTGCATTTTCAAAACATGTCAAAGAAAATATGGCTGAAATTAAATAATTTAGAATGATCAGGCTTTATTTTTAAAGACAGAAACGGAGAGTTTTGCGTTTAGGTAAATTGCACAAAGACAGTTTAGACAAAAACGAAACTGTTTCTAATTGTTTTGTGCGAAATAAATATATTCCTAAGAGATTTAAAGGCGATTTCTTACAAATTAGACAATAGTTTCTCCCTCTATTCTCAGAACCGAATTCACATCAACCATTTTTTTCTTCTTAACTACATCATTTGACAACAACTACATCATTGGCCCTCTCGTTGGCCAAGTCTTCTGTAAACTTTGACTACTCCAACAAGAAAAACAGTTTGACATAAAGGTGAAACACTAAACATTTAGAAAGTACCATAGGCAAACTAAGCCTGCAGGACCTCCTCTAACTGGATGCAACTGGATTTTGCTGGATCAGAATATCCCCATCTCACTCGTCAATCATCAAAAGTGATTTACATAAGTGAGTTCGTCCTCTTGAATCGGGGGCTCTTAGCTCTTGGACCACTTTCCTATAAGTGAAATATGATACCTCTTTGTTTTTCATATGACTTAACAACTAATTAAAGTGTTATTGTACCAAGGAGATTTATTTAGTACTACAAGTGCATTATTGGGTCTTTGCTGAATAGTTGTGTAGTGCGGTTTTTTATGAAAACTTTTAGCTTTGCGATGGGTTTAAAATACTAAGAGGTGTTATTTACGGTAGCTATAGAAAACGGTAAAATTTGTACTTTATTAATTTTAAAAACTCAATCGGGCCCCTTGCCTGTTTATTACGATTATCCATACCATTTGTCAAAATGTATTTAAATAACCGATGAAGACGCTGAGACAAAAACATGAATGCATATTGTAGTTCTGGGTAGGTAAATTATTTTTCTAAATTATCGTGTAAACTGGTTTTGAATATTGTAAAACCGGAAACATTTCTAAATTTTTAATCGTATAAGCATCTTCGATTCCTAACACTGTTGAACTATTCCAATCGATTTTTCATTATGCTTCGATTAGTTCTCTATCGTGCGCAAATTCATAGTTTTCGGATAACTTGAAGTAGATAGTAGAAAAAACATATGGCAAATTTTTCGGTTCGCTTACCTCAAAATTTGATCAGTGCATTATGAAAACGGTACTAATCACACGATATTTAAAGCTATGTTTGTAAACAACAGAAATGTAAACATTGAAGACTACTTTGTATAGCCTCAAGTTATGCGGTCCAATTTTGTAACGATTATAAGGTTATTTCCACACTATGATGAAAATAGTTGTTCATCACACGGAGCGCTAACAAGGCTACAAGATCGCGCCACTCATCTTACACTCATCTCCAATCATACTTGGCTTAAAATACCTACTTTGTATGGTCGCCATTTCACTATAAAGTATTAAAGTATTAAAGTATTAAAGCGAAAATGTCTTTTTGGTACTACTGTAGTATCGTATTGCCATTGCGTACCAAAAAGAGTCACTTTCGCTCCTAGTGATGAAAACCACTTTTATAAAAAGGACAAAAGAGGTGATGGTGTTATGCTAAAATCAAATGCATTTCCTAAATGTAAAATCAAATGCCTATTACAATAGTTAACATACTAATATTGTATGTACACATCTGCGTTTGAATCCAAAACTCCGAATCTTAAATTCGAATTTTAAATCTCCGACAAACTTTATCAGGAACAAAATCCCTTTTTCGTATTTTACTTTGCATTTATAGATTGAAAAAAAGTTACAAAGTACGACTATAACGTTTTACGCCAGTTGTACGAAGAAGCTACAATGAGCATGGTTAATTACCCAACAGGAAACAGTTAAGAACAAACTTTGTTACAACAAACCCAGTAGTGAAGAGTGAAAGCAACGAGTTTGTAGCTTAAAACGTCGTTTAATTCTGTTTCTGATTGCCGGGTTTTCTCCCCGGGCATGATGCGAATTTAATGATTGTCACGACTGCTAAATCTCAGTTCCGGTTTAGAATTTGGCGAGCTAATAGTTGACGATTTCCTCTTCTTTTTTGCAATAAAATATTGCTTCTTCAGAAAACATAATTTCCAACCATGTATCTTATTCGTTTTAAAATTTGAGCACTCATTATTGGATCTGTTCAACTTTTGTTGGGATTTTGAAGTACTGTGTTCAAATTTACTATCCCTACTGTTACAAACTAATAAGATTAGGAACCGATTGGCGTGTTTAAAAATCCCCGAAGCTAAAGAATATAGTGCATTCGCATTCGTTAGTAGTTAGTCAAGCAGTTACATTTTGGGGAGCGAGCAAGCTGGTCTAGTTGTAGAGCGTGGGGCTTCGGTGTCCGAGGTCCCGCGTTCAAATCCGGCCAATCATCAATGGGTTTTATCTATGTGATAGGATAGTGCCGCGACCCTCTAGGACTAGCCTGAAGTAATGTTTAAAACAGTCCCGGGCTAGAACTAGCGTCCTAGGACGTGACAAAAAGCCAAGTAGGTATTTATTCCGATTTTAAACAAATTCTGAGGAAATCAAACGTACGAATTGACGCTTTTTAAAACCATGCTTCAAAGCCAGTTGTGCTAAGCTATCCTTAGTTTTGAAGGATAGCTTAGCTATTTCTTGTTACAACTCATTCGACTATTAATTGGGTATGATGATGATTGGAGTGTCCGTTTGAAATCAATCACCACTCACCATATTAACTATAACTGTCTTGTGAGTTAACAGTTTAAATAAGTTTCCAAGTGTTAAACTATTTATACTTAGGTACTTTCTGTAAATTCAACAACACTTACAAAACTGATAAGACAGTTATTATTTTTCACCCAAATTACTAGGACCTAGAAACACTGTTTAAGATCACAAGCTCATGCTTTAGTATCCCTGTTTACTTCATTCCGACCAGCTGATTTTATTTCTTGCATTGTTGTCTACAAGGTTTAGTCTCTAGAATAGAATTTATTAACATTTGAAGGAAATTCAATACGGTGTTTTGGCAAGCTTAAAGAGTATTGTAGAGGACAAAGTACAGTAAAAGTAAATAATTATTTTTCTGTCAAAAAAGACATGAAATCATATTTCCATGTGAGACAGTATAAAATAAACTATTTATACTTGTTAACAATTCAATGAAACCGCATCTGTAGCAAACTAAAACGTAATAAATTCTCTGTAACACTAAACCGAATAAGAAACAATGCAACAGTACAACAGCTGATCGGCAATGAAGTAAAGGACATAGCTACCAACATGTGAGCTTCTTTTGTCTACAGTGTCTTTGTACTTGTTATTTCGGTTACGTTAAAACACCCTTTACATATTTATTTACCCTCGGAAAGCTATGAAGGCTGATTTATTCTGTTACTACTTTTATCCTATGACTACAGTTAAAGTCTTGTGTTGAGACAGGACTAACCAGCCAAGGACATCCGCTCCTGTCGTACATTCACTTACATTGCGTGTCCGGTTCTCCAGGTGTTATGATCGAGTATTATGTCTTCATTACAGTAACACATTACTTTGATGTTCTTGCTTCTGAAGACTCATTTCCGCCAAACAAGAAGTTTTATTTGTACTTCCTGAGGTCTGTAAAAGAAGTTGGAAAAATAATGTGTAAAGAAAATAAGGCTCAGAAATAAGTACAATTGATTTAGTTGTATTTGTTTCTTTGTTTTCTGCATGCGATTTTAAAAGTTTTAACACGCCAGTAGTGTTTTTAGAAGGTAATAGACCCTTGTTTATACATTCAGTACCATACACTGCAATGGTTACTGGGATGTTACATCTTCCTTAGTAATAAAAAAATCATCATACAGCCAAGTCTGATGGTCAAGAGTAATACCTGATGTTCAAAATCTGACCCTGACCATTAAAAAGAATCGTCAGAGATCGAACCCGATCATAATACACTTATACAATAAATACCTTGATAACAAGTCTCTCTTGGGGTCAAATACGACTTGTTATTGAGGTCGACCCCTTATCGAGGTTTGCAATAACATTTAATCAAGGGTGGTATAAATCAAGGACACTAATTATTATCAAGGGTCACTTGTCATTGAGGGTCTTTCATCAGTCATTTTCGTCTTTCATCGGGAGCCACTTTAGTAGAGTTTCCAGTATGCTTAGTTTAAATTGGCTTATCTTGACCAAATCGCATTTTTCGAACTTCTAAACCAAACGACGCTATTATCCTATCTCCTTGGAACACAATTTCCGGCAACATGGAGGAGGAAAAGAGGAAAGAGTTGGAGCGGGTGGGCATTAATGGCACCAACTGACCTGAGTCAGGTGGTTGGGTATTCCTGAATTGCGCCAACTACACCAGGGAACCACCCGATAAGTTCATTAACTGGGCCACAGGTGGCGGCCCTCTTTCACTGTATAATTGAGTAGGTTATGTCAGGTTAGGTTAGGTTAAGTTAGGTTAGGTTAGGATGACACGTAAACAAGTTTATTCCTTTTGCCGGCAACTTACTCCGACCTGACTTGGGCTTGGCGCAACTAAGGAAAATTCTGTTGGGACCCTTTGAGGGCTTGGCACAATTAAGGAACTCTTTGGCGCAATTGACGCACGACCCATTTCTGTATACCACAATAAGATTTTATTGACCATAATAAGATAGTATACATTCGTTAAAGATTTATTGAGACATATTTTTCCAGAGACACCGGTGCGTTGCTGCATCTACTGAAGAGCAGTTTAGGCTCTGGCATCCTCGCGATGCCCAACGCCTTCAAGAACGGAGGTCTCGGGTTCGGTGTCATCGGAACCATCATTGTAGGCATCATCTGCACCCACTGCGTTCAGATGCTGGTAAGTACTCGCAGATTGTAAAATGTTAATAAGTACAAACTGTTGACAATAATAACACTTTTAGCTTATGATGACGCAAAAATATCTAAAATTGATTACTATGTGTATGCAACAATATAGAACATCTGTAATCGCCTCTGAAGCGAAAATTTGCACATACTAAACGTGCTAAAAGAAGACGTTGTTGGACTATATCACATGTTTCCCAACTTTGTTATATACCGAAAATATTTATTAGGAATCTTTTCTCTATTGGCCGTCATAAGGTGGCTTTATGCTCAAAGTTTGTTCTTACGTGACAAATACACTCTATGTATTGAGTCACAAAATGATAAAACAATTTCTTAATTGCATACAGATGATGTATTTGCAAGTATTGCTTACAAACACATATGAGACAGGGATTAACTTGGGTTCAAACATATCCAAGAAAAAGAACGAAAGTCTACGTAAATTGACTGTATACAGTAACAGTTTTAAGTCTAAAGTATGAGTGAGTATAATGACGTACTCACTAGTGACGTAGAAATGACGTCACAAAACTAGTGCTGCCCGTCACCGGTTTTTCGCTTCTCCCGAGTAGTGAATTGTCGGAACGTCAGAAACCGGAACCCAGGAACGAACCACACGTCCTGCTCCTGGGGTTCCCCTATCTTGGACTTGAACCATCGTCGTCTTGTTTCCTTGTGCAAGTTCAGGACCAACTTCCGAACCAGATCCTGGGATTTCTCATTCCTTGACCTTGAACCTTTACTGTCTGGTTTTCCTTGTTCATGTTTTCAGTTTAGCATTCTCTTGCACCCACGAGTAGTCAAAGGTGTCAAGGATGAAGTTTGTTTAGCTTTTCGAATGAGTTTTCTAACGTCTACGACTCTTTCAGAAAATGTTTGTAGGGCTCTTTGGTGTTCATAGGCTTTTCAGGCATTGTTTTGATCCTTCTCAATCACATCTCTATGCATAGTTTCAGTAAACAAAGTATGTGGATTCATTATTCTTCTTGTAAACTCCTTTGTTTTACAAAGATTTTAAAAAGCAAACTTCGAGTACGAATATCATATAACACTTATATTCAATTGTAAGGGGCTTGGGCCGGATTCCGTTAATGGTTTTTAAATGTCAGATGAAAAATGCCACTTGCTTGGACAATAAAAACAACTGTCTCATACGATTCTCTTTTGCTAATACCATTTCAAAATAAGACATACTTAAGTTTACATGTGTACGTATAATTTGTTTTTCCGCTGGAAACATTTGTAATTTTTAACCTTTACAAAAATATTCTACCGAGCAATAGCTGAAGAACTGACAGCACATTTGCATAACAAAACGGCCACTCTTCAAAAATAAAGTTATGATTGATGGTTAAGTCATTCAACCGGACTAGGTCACGTGATGTTCACGTGTGACCTTGGTCACAACAATGCTAACAATCACAAGCTGTCCATTGTTGGCCCCAAGGCCTTGCTTGCGTTTCCTAGAAGATATTGTTTATTTTCCTTCGCAAACATTGTCAACGCTCTTGCTGAGGGTTATAATTGGAAAGTCAATTCTTGAGTTTTACCACTGTCTGTCGCAATAGGTAATTTGTGAGTTAATGTTAGTGTTGGGAGAAAGAGTTAAACAATAGTTTTTATGGTTTTATATTGTGTACGTTTCTTCGTAGATTTTCCTGCTAAGTAAACTCACTTGAGCCCTACACCGTCTTAAATAATTGATAATGTATGTAGATTTCTGTCATACTGATAAATAATTACAAATATTACACTGAAATATAAATCATACTATATTAAGTATCATCTTTTTAGGAGCTTGGATGTCACTAGCTCGTGTAGAATTCATTCTATAAAATTCCTGTTAAAATTCTTGAATCAGCTATTTATGCTTTAAACAATGTTTAATTAATTTTCAGTCACTTTATTGGTGTAATATTTGTCTCTTTTTTGTATATTGCCAATTGCTGGCACCAAGATTCGTAGGTTCTAGTAAGTAATTAGTTATGGCCAATTCACCTTTGGTACTAGTTTACCTATTGGAAACTACTAGTAATATAAGATAGCTTTAGTAACATCTATATTATTCAAATCATTTGTTTTATTTTTGTGTGCAACAAATAGAATCCTAAAAATTTTTTTATAGGCATATTGGGTATCAATTTAAAGCTCTTATCCTCTAGATGCGACTTTTGTGGGTTTGGATTATATCCCGTTAAGCCCTTCGTAGTTTGTGCTGAATTCTGTTTTCAATCACCTGAACTTTTTCAAGTTTACATTTGTTTACATCAAAACAGTATGTTTTATCTATGGTCATGATACAATTTTGTTTACATTCATACGAAAATGTGGTTATCTTTAGTTGGAGTTGGTGATGTTACAGTGAATTCAAGTAAAATGTTGTAATGTTATTTTTATAATATGTAAAGAAGAAAATGACTTACGTTGGATTTTGTTTTCATTTTATATTTGATTAGTATTTGTATCTTTTTTAAGATGCCTCCAAGAGATCACGCACGCAATGAAAATAATAGGACTCACAATGCAAATAACAGAGATATGATGAAAATAATCCTTTTCACCCTTATCAACTATACATCAAATATATCACGGATTTGGAAGTCACTGAGTGAAGCAGGTTGATGCTAAGATTACAAATCATATAAAAATCCCTATTTCAACGTAAAAATTGTCAATGGAAATACAAATTGTGATTCTAATGCTTTCAAAACATGTATCAACTACATAATGTATTATGTTATTGTAATCTTACATACATCCAAGACATACATAAACATGTTAACGCCATATATTTGTTCTCATATCATCCATGGCACATTCCACTAGTCATAGCATCAAGTTGTTAAAGGCTGTTTCACGTGTAAATGGAAGAACGGAATCCAATTGATGCCGACTCTAATAGCTCTATTACATCCTTCATCATCATACCACGGGATCACTATGTTGCTATAATGATTTGCTTGCATCAATTACCGTATTGCTTGGAATTTCTTCACGGTAAGGTACGTGCCGTGGTGATGACGTCATCTAAGTAATATTGAGATTTGTGATTGATGGTTACTCGTCATCGGTGCGTGGTTTAGCCAATGAAAATCAGCTGGTTCGGAAAACAATTAATGAGAATTGGTCCATTGCACCTCTGTCCTTAACAGAAATGGCTTTATCCTTAAAAGTGCAATATGGAACTCAACCTATTTAACGATATATCGCTCATTTCAAATAATAAAAAATACTTATTATAATGACCTCGCTTTACTTGCTAATAAAAATTATAAAATATAGGTAAAATTATTCATTACTATTTCCCTCTAAAAAATTAATTTGCAACCATCTGACGATTAAAATTGTGTTTGAAGAAATTTGACACTGTCGTGGAACAGACTATAATAACTCACTCAAAGCGATAACATCTCATCATGAAACTATTCAGCCTATACTGTCTTTATAAAGCACCAAACAAACCTTGCGGACACTTTTATAATTTCACACTACTATCCTAACTTATCAGTAATGAAATCTTCAATCACTTATCTAATCAATTTCATCTTATATCATTCACTTTCATCAACTTTCTTCAGCGTGACAGGTTGAACGTCATTTATCACTCTGATGATTGCTGATTACCGTAATCATTGTTGACTTTTATGACGTCGTAACTCGTTAATCCCTCGTAATCCTCTGTAGGCAGCTTAACTCATTCTCACTCATTGTTGTCGCTGTCTTCGCCTTGGGCAAGGTTTATGGGGAAGTCCTGGCCAAAAAGTATAATCCAATTCCACAAAGACCTTGTTTGTGCTGAAATGTATATGTTACTATTATTAAATTGGACTTTTCCAACGTGTCTTGTGTTAACTACACAACGTTTCTGGAGGTGGGAAAACTCCTCCCGTTATCAAGTGAAAAATACTAATTCTACATTAATCTATCAGGTTGTATTTTTGCATTTTGTTAAGATAAGTCCAATTTAATAGTATAGTAGGAACATTTCAAAACGTCTTGAAATTAAAAACTCTGAAAAATGGATAATCGACTATTATGTTTTATCTATGGTATTACCTTGTCTAAAAATATCCTGTACTTCGTAAGATGCTTCGTTTTACTTTGAGATTAATTCTTAACTTTATATTGACAAAAAGTTAAGAATCTTTCGCAAAAAAAAAAAACAAACTAAAAACTAAAACTAAACAAAAATAACAAATGATTGTTTAACACTTGGATTTGAACAAAAAAGTATGTAGTTTTGTCTGATATAAAAGCAGCTAAAACCGTGATATTTTCAAACATATTTTAAATAATTTAAATAGACTATTCTGAATTTAGGAGGGTTGGCTACTGTCTTGTATCATAGATAAAACATAATGGTTTATCTATGCTTGCATGGCCTTAAAGTAAATTCAAATGTTTGGTACAGTAAAAAGCTAATAAATATGAAACAGTGTTGCACTAACTAATTCTGGTTTTATTTAAGCTTTTTTTATTTACATTTTTAATGATTTTCTGTATACTATATCATATGATTGGCTACAAACAGGGCGGAAAGGTCTTCAAATTACTAAATATTAGTAATTTGTATACAGGGTGATTTGTACTCAGTGTGACAAAATTTTTTTGATGTAAGTACAAAGTAAATGAAGTGTGATGATGCATATCAAATGTTCCAAGTCAAAAAATTAGTTTCCCAAAAAATTATTTTATGTTTTTCAAAAATAACCATGTTTTTAAACTTAATACAGCGATTTCTCAATTACCTGTATATGGATTTGAGTAGATAATGTCATTTTCGTGTTCTACATTAAATTTTGAACAAGAATAATATAAAATGATGGAGGATCAGTTGTAAAAACTCCATTGTAAATAGATTCAAAGATAAAAATTAAGATGTTTGATAAAAATTTTAAAAACAATTGTCTATTACATTTTTCACACCCTGTATACAAGAAAGTGTCGGAATATGTTAAAAACTGCGCCATTTTATAAGCTTTCCAACCA